TAAAAGGAATAATTGACTAATGATTTCATTAATCGAATCTAGGGGTCAACGCGAGAGCTTGTTTGACTGTAATCACAAGGAGAAATTTCCCACGCTTGACCAGCTTGGATTGGAGGTAATCTGGAGCAAGACCATGTAGGCATTTGTATACCATGGTGACCTCTCTAAGCTTGTAGAATTTCCGTTATTGGTAACCAACCAAGATMTTTAATGGTTGATAAGATATGATCGTATTTTCTTTTCCCAGTCAGGATCCTAGCTGCAATRTTCTGTAGAAGCTGAAGTTTTCCAATATTCTGTTGCGTTGTTCCCGACCACAAGGTTGAGCAGTAAAACAGCTTACTAAATACCAGAGAGTTCAGTATAACTTGAAGAACATCTTTCGTAAACAGGTGTCGAACTCTGTTGATTTGACACCATTTACCTAATAATGAAGATAAGCAATCTATGTGATCATTGAACGAAAGGTTGTTATCRAATATAACTCCCAAGTCTTTACACGAGGGCGATGGAGATAACTCTTTACCAAGTAAGGGGATTTTAATTWCACTCAGCCTTCCAACCAACTGTCTAGTGCCAAACAGCATGAACTTTGTCTTTTGTTGATTGATTAACAATCGATTAGTGCAACACCATTCTGCTACTCTGTTGAGTTCTTGAACAATTAGACCAAGAGCGCTGACTTTATCTTTGGTTGCAAATKACAAGTAAAGCTTGGTGTCGTCGAAGTAGGACTCTACTGAACAGTTTTTTATAGCGTCTGTCAAGTCATTCATATATAAACTGAACAGCACGGGCCCGAGAATTAAGCTCTGTGGGACGCCATGGCTTATACGTARTGACGAAGATATTGATGTTGCAACGCGAGTAGATTGTTCTCTGTTTGTGAGGTAGCTTTAGAATCAATTCAGGACCTTCATCGATGTACCTAACGCCCGAAGCTTGTTTATTAAGGTAGTATGGCATATGCCGTCAAAAGCCTTACTCAAGTCGATGAATACCATAGCTTTTACTTTCTTTTTATCATTGGTGCTGAAAAGATGATCTGAAACTAGGAATTAAGGAGTTGATTTTTGCGCAGGGAGGAAAACCGGAGAACCCAGAAAACCCTCGAAGCACAGGAGAGAACCAACAAACAACTCTACTCATATACAACAACCCGGCGGGACTCGAACTCGGGTGGCTTTGATGAGAGGCGAGGACGRCACCGCTACGCCACCCGTGCTTTCCTCATGAGAGATTCAATTCCCTGAGGATGTAATTCCGGGCCTTAGAAGTGATGTCATTGAGCAGTAAAAGAAGATTTCTAGGATCGTAATTCACATATTTATTAGTATGTGTATGAGAATATATATTACAGTGCGACTACTCCAACCAAAGCCACCTCGACAAATTTTCCACAAATTATCCAATAGTGTTTGTACTGTTTAATAAACGAGCAGGAGTRTTTTATCGGGTATAAAACACGAGGCGTAGCCGAGTAGTTTTAGACCCGATAAAACACGATCTGCGAGTTTATTGAACGGCTTAGAAAACTCATGATGTATGTTCTCATATTGTACTGAATTCTTTACGAAATGAACCAAGTTTGATAGAGAAAATCCAAGTTAAAGTTTATGCAAA